GGGAGGAGGACATAGGGGAGGAGGGAGAAAGGCTAGAAAGAGGCATGAAGGGCTGTTGCCGACACCAAGTTGGAGGAAGGGATTGCAGTTGTGGAACTCCTAAATCTAGGGTTTTTTTTTTTTTTTTTTTTTTTTTTATTAATTTTTGCGAAGAAGGCAGAGGATTTCGAGTGGTCTTCCATAATAATTTAATATCGAGTTCGTCATTCAAATCAAGAGGATTACTACTAAACCTTAAATACCATATAACATAAAAAGCCAAACTTTAGACCATAAGAAGTAGAGGGGGAGTAAGTAAGACAAAAGGAGGAAAATTATAACAGGATTGAGGCAAACCGACCTTGGTCATTCCAAAAGTTCCCCTCCCTCTGACCCCACTCTCATCTTCAGCTTTGGAGATTGTAGTATATTCTTTATTGAAAGTTTTTTTTCCTTTTCTTTTTTCTGCAACAATAATTATAACTGAAAGTTAAAAGGAGGAACTTTAACGAAAAACTTCTGGTACTGTTCATTTTAAGAAAAAATCATATTTTTACACTAAAAAGTCAATCCTGGTACTATTTACTTTACCCTTTATTTAAAAAGTCAATCTTAGTACTATTCACTTTACCCTTTATTTTGTCCTTATTGTTAAAACTCAAAGTTTTCAAGTCATGTTCATTAGTTTTCCTGCAAAAGATGCCTTCTCTCTTTGCCTCCGCCTCCCACAGTCACTCCCTCAAAAGAAAAAAAAAATGTTCCTTTCCTTCTTTTAACACAAATATATTATTCCCTTGTGATGGGTTGACCACTATATTAAAAACTACAGTGGACATAGCCTCGTTTATGGATGAACCACTATATATATTTGTATTAAAAAAAAAATATATATATATATATATATATATATATATGTTACAATCCATGCGCTAAAGAGTCTCTCATCTAAGGGTGGTGAAACGTGAGTCAACGAGTCTTCCATCCAATAGTGATCCAGTTCATGATCAAAGAGTCTTTCCTCAAAATCATGACATGGCAAACATAGGACCGGGTCACACAAATATCCACGTCAACACTTTTTTTTTTTTTTTCTCTCTTTCGTACCAAACCCCTAAGTTTCAAGTTGGTTCTCTCTCTCACTTGTATCAGGTAAGATTTGGGATGAACATTTGCCCTTAGAAAACTAAAATCTGGCCATACTGAATCGACAGTACATATTTATTTATTTATTTATTTTTATTTAACACTATCATATTGAAAAGTTTAATGTAGAAATATTGAATTGGTTGAATTCGTTCATAAAGTAAACTTTTTATGTATACATCACGAGCATTGTGACTCAAGGATTAGCACTCTTTAAAAAATAAGAAAATCTAATTTACATATAAGTATAATACTTGTGGAACAAATAATCTTTGCGTGCTCACGGTTCACAGCTCCTGAAAATGCAAGAAAATCTGTAACTTAATGACATCCGAAGGACAAGTTTGGCCAGTAAAAGGATGAAAACAAAGTTTATGAAGCTCTTTGGGTCCATCTTTACGCGCTCACGGTTCACGTAAAAAGTTTAATTCACTATGTTTGGTGTGAACAAAAAATACCAAATTAGTAGCCATATATGTGGTACGAAGGTTCTCACAACACATAGCCAAGATTTTTAAATAATGGGGTCATAATATCAATAAAAAATAAAAAATAACTTTTTTGGGCAATTACGTTGAGCACCTAATAGTCAACTGCCAATTCCTGTCAACATATTCCAAAAGTTTATGCCAACATATGTCGACAATTACTATTATTTGTAGAGGTTTGCCGATAGTATATGCAAGATACTGTAGAGTAATGTTGACGACTGCCAATGTTTTACAACTAAAGTATTTCATACAAGAAGAAAAAAGAAAAGAAAGACAAATATGATAGGAGAAAATAGAAGAAGTAGGAGGAAGAAGTTGTAATTTAATTTGCTTTAGTTGTTTATAAAGGTCAAATACAATATAGAAACGAACCTATCTTATTAGAGTCAAAGACAATTAATAACCCCATATTAACTTCGTCACTGTGCATAATAGTGCCAATACAAAGCAAGATGACAGAGCTCGCGTTACAAATAAGATAGATGTAAAATTTCAGCACAAGCATGGGCCAAGATACGATACTCAGTTTGACCCAAAAAAACTTAGTAGGGCTCCAGGAGATCAAGTTCGACCTAAGAAAAACTTAAAAACTCCGAGGTGGAAGGTTTTAAATTTTATTCTTGGATTGAGGAGGAGACGTCGTACTCCTTCCTTGTAAAGTCACAAAATATTTTCAATACTATTAACACATAATAGTGCCAATGCAAATAGAAGTCTTCATTTAGTAATATGGTTTAGTGATATTCGTCTTCATTTGTAAATAGAAGTCTTAAATTTAGTTCTCACCAAATACGAATTTGAACCACATTATTATGGTTAACCCAATATGAAGCTTCGCTGATTCCTCATCTTTTTAATATTAATAATATCGTTTGTTAAAAAAAATTTTGAAGTTGATATTCTAATAACAAATTGATTGGGATATGATGAGAAGACCAAACTGATTTGAATCCATGTCACAACTTCTACTTATTTAGTCCTACCTTTAACGTATTTTTACTTTTCTTCAAAGCAGCATATGTTTTGCTAGGGTTAGTCGAATTTCCATATCATTTCCTCAAAAGCTGGTCCTCCTACTTCTAGTCAAGCTTTCCACAATCCACACTTCCACGGTCCACGCCCATTGAGGGAAGGGGAATGAGAAGACAACATTACTCAAACTAGTCTCAGTTCAGCTCGAGTCTTTATGTAGTAAGTCAACTGACGTGATCCACCTGCCAACGCAACCCCTCATTCACGGAAACTTATTCCATCCGGCACCCGGAGATGGCGACCATGGGTTGACGTGAGAGGGGGGTTAAAGTCTAATTGTGGGGTAGAGGTGGGTCTCAAATTAAAGAGTGGTGGGCCATGAGTTGTTTTTTATGTCTAGGCTGGATTTATGAGGTGGTCTGTGGGAGTCGATGGGTGCGGTTTGGTACGGTTTTGAGTGAAATTGTAATTGAAATTGAAATTTTTTGCGGTGAGGTTTGGCGGGTTTTGAAGCCAAAACTGAAATAAACCCAAATTGTTTGGTTCAGTTTGGTGCGGTATCAAACAGTTTCAGTTCGGTTTTTGAGAAAAGAATGTACAATTTAAAATATACACCTATTTACGCATAAGACAGTCTTATTTTCCCAATATATTAATTAATGAACCTGCAGCAAAAATGTTAAATAAAAAAAAAGCAGCAAAAAACAGCGTAAATGGATCAAATGCTCAGATGTTGCAAAAGAAAACAAATTAAAAAATGAGCCTCTCTGACCAAAAAAACCAAATTAAGCTTCTCTGACCATATGCAAAGGAATTCAGAGATAGATTTGTCTAACCATATGCAATAGTAGCACCAATCTACAACACACAAGCATTAAAGAAAGTGTATATGTATACATCTTTCGTAATGCACAATTTGTTTAAGTTATATATCAAGATAAGCATTGTTAAGCTCCTAGCACATCTATTTCCTTAAATTATTGACGGGTCATGCACTCATACAGATTCTATCATGTGTTTTAGAATACTTGTAGATTTTAAATATACCAAATTTTAATTACGATACTTGGCAAACTCCAAAGTTTGGAGTCCAAACAAGACAATTGTGAACCGAATCAATGCAATATAGTAAAATATGAACTAGTATGAGGATGTGAGTAAATAAAGAAAACAAAATCCAAAGAGAAGCAGGTGAAAACAATGGAGGGTGGTTCCTAAAGAAATTAATAATTTAGAACTTAAATTGATACTTGGGTGGTTCCTAATCTAGTTCCCCTTTTGATTCACAAACCCTATCCCTAAAATTAATTATAAACCCTAACCCAGTACCCCTTTTGAATCTTTGATTCAAACGAACCGTAACTCTAAAATTAATTTAATTACAAATTATTAACTAAACTAACTAACACAAGTTCTAAGTTCTTACCATATTAGCTAGAACGAAGAGCAGGTGATTGATTTGCCAAGTCTGCTTTGCAGAGCTTTTGACTTGCAGAGTTCAGGGCTTGCGGATGAAGGGGATCTGGGGATGCAAGTAGTGAGGTCACAAAGATGCAAGCATCGAGGGCACTGATGTCGACCGTGGAAGAGATGAAGATGAGTTTTGAGAGAGAGATGAAGATGAGTTTTGAGAAAGAAAGAGACAGACTGATGTATCATGTATGGACTCGAATAGTGGTGCAAATTTGGATGACGAGTGTAGTTGAACTAATTAAAACATAACATTCAATATATGGTGCAGTTTCAGTTTCGATGGGATTTTGAAACCCAAAACCAAAACCAAACCGTTTTCTTTGCCGCAGTTCGGTTTAGAAACAACAACCGTTTCAAAATCGCAAAACCAAACCGTTTGGTGAGGTCTAATTCGATTCGTGTTTCGGTTTCGATTTTCGGCTCCAAGTGCCCACCCCTAGTGGTTTGGATGCCGGCCCTAAGAATCTCTCCTCATTCACGCCTAACATTTCTTCTCCTTTCCACAAATTTTCATAGACGAAAAACCCCCACAATTTATTTTTTTAATTTTTAGTAGCAATAACAAACTTGACTTGGAGAAAGAAAGGGGCGCGCTAGCTTACATTGGTGGGTTAGATGGTTGTTAAGAGAGAATAATCAATGGAAATTGAATCCACACCATGATGTATAAATATGATTGTTTTCCGTTACTGATACAATGCCATTTGCAAAAACCTGACAATTTAATTTCTTCTCACTTATCATTATATAAAATCCCTTATGTTTTTCTTTAGTACTGTCTTCTCCCCTCTAACAATATTAGTCCCTGACATGCATGCATACATGCATATTCATAAAGAAGAAAATCAGTCCTAGAAATCAATCTTTTCCTCGGATCCCTGCCATAGATTTCTTGATTCAGTGCATGTCATACATCGTAACATAATAGCCTTTATCCCAAAAATGAACAGGTATGGCCGCCAAACCACCTCCCTTGTCCTGTATTTCAACTTCCATTTCTTCTTGTCCTTGTTCTGCTACCATCCTCTTCCCATGGTCTTCTCTCAACTCTCCTCAAACCAGAAAACCGCCATGATCCATCTCTCCAACAACCTCAACACTCCAACTAGAGTTGTTCCATGGGACGTCAACAAAGAACCAAACCCATGTTTGTGGACGGGAGTTCGGTGCAATCCCCCGACCAATTCATCCGTCATCCAGATTTCTCTGTCCGGGTATTCTCTATCTTCCTCGGACTTTCTGCCCCTCGTTTGCCGGATTGAGTCACTGCAGATTCTAGATGTGTCCTACAACCGTCTGACCACAATTCCGTCTGGGTTTTTCTCAGATTGTGGAAAGCTAGGTGGGTTAAAGCTGCTCAATTTTAGTGTGAACAATTTGGTGGGTCGTCTGCCCGATTTTGTTGGGTTTTCGGGGTTGGAGGCTTTGGACTTTGCTCGGAATAACTTGAGTGGAAACATTGACTCCGAGTTGGACGGGTTGGTCAATCTCAGAAGCTTGAACCTTACCTTCAACCGTTTTACTGGGTCTGTTCCAACGCGTCTCGGAAAGTCCAAGGTTTTGGAGGAGCTTGAGCTTTCTATGAATATGTTTGATGGTCCCATCTCTGTTCAAATTGTGGGATATCAGAATTTAACTCTCATTGATCTTAGTGGAAATCAGCTTTCCGGGATTGTTCCTGCTGGAATCGGAGAGCTCTCCAAGTTGGAGGTTTTGATTCTTTCGGCCAATAAGTTATCCGGCGGAATCCCACAAAGCATTTCCAATATCACCAGCCTCTGGAGATTTGCGGAAAATTCTAACAATTTCAATGAGACGATTCCTGGTGGCATTGCAAGGCATCTGAAAACCTTGGACCTCAGTCATAATAACTTGAGTGGGTCGATTCCATCGGACCTCTTGTCATCATCGAATCTGCAGACACTGGATTTGTCGAATAATAGATTGGAGGGACAGATACCGCCAGTTGTATCTCCGAGCTTGGTCAGGTTGAGACTGGGAAGCAATTCGCTCGATGGTGTAATACCTACCGCGACGATTGCAACACTGAAAAAACTAACATACTTGGAGCTGGAAAACAATAACTTGACTGGATTGATTTCTCCTGAATTGGGTGATTGCCGGAATTTGGCGCTGCTGAATTTGGCTCACAATCACCTGTCCGGGGCTTTACCAGCAGATTTGGGTAACCTTGGCAGTCTTGAGGTCTTGAGACTTGAATCGAACAATTTGAGTGGTGGAATTCCAATTCAAATTACACAACTACCCAAGTTGTCCGTTCTGAATATCAGCTGGAATTCTCTCAACGGCTCAATACCACCTTCAGTTTCACACATGCGGAGTCTTATTATCATGAACTTACAAGGCAACAAGCTCAGCGGTTCCATTCCCGTCGGTATTGCCTCCATGAATTCTCTGATGGAACTCCAACTTGGAGAAAATCAATTAAGTGGTGACATTCCAAGAATGCCGGCGAATTTACAGATTGCTTTGAATCTCAGCAGCAATCTTTTTCAAGGACCTATTCCGGAAACTCTTTCGAGGCTCAGTGGATTAGAAATTGTGGATCTCTCAAATAACAAATTCTCAGGAAAGATACCTGATTTTTTTACTGGAATGGGAGCCTTGACACAGTTGTTACTATCTAACAATGAGCTCTCTGGAGAAATTCCGGATTTCGCTTCTTGGGTCATGGTCGACACAAGTGGGAACAAGGGTTTGACTAACAGAACAACAAGAAGCACTCCAACCCAAACGGAGAAGAAAAATTCATATGCAGTTTTGACAATTGTTCTTGCAGTTGTAGCAGCTGTGATTACCTTTGGAGGAATTGTTGGTTATTTTAATTATATTTAATTTTAAAGATTCAAAACTGATTATTGTTTTATTTATTTTTAATATTTAAGAGTTGTGTTTTGTTTGAAGAGTCATAATCCCTTTACGAAGGGGTATGAGAAGTTCTTTAAATAAGAAACCTCAGGCAGAAAACAGAATACGTTAAAAATTATTCTGTCTCATTCACTTCTCAAATCTTTGTCAGTGAATTTACATTCCTACAATTTCTGTTTTATAATTCTTGGACAATTGATCACTACTTGGCAATTCCGTCTGCCGTTGACGTGCATAACGAATCAGATATCCTGTAAGGCTTTGGGTTGTATCTTTGAGTTGTAGGCATCATCATATCCTGCACGTGAAGAGGCGTCTACAACTTTAGAGCAGCAGCTTTTTCTCTTCTTCCCTTTCAAACCAACACGCCCAACATTTTCTCTTCTTCCCATTCCCACAACGTTTCCATTCCTCTAAAACCCCATAACCCAAACAGACATCTCTCTGCAATTCTCTCTCTCTCTCTCTCTCTCTCTCTCTCTCTCTCCGACCTCCTCCTCCCACCTGAAAATCACATAAACTTTATATACAAATCTCCCTTCATATTTATACATAAAAAAAGAATCAATTACCGAAATTGTAAAAGCATATGACTAAAAAGTAAAAACTGTCTTTTAAACAGAATGGTAAAAGCATATGACTAAATTGTAACAAATGTTTGAAGAATTAGTAGACCTCTTCTTCTAGCTGCGTTATCATAAATTCAAGTCCAATAGTGTACGCCAAAAATCGCAATTAAAACACAATTTCAATATAAAAATTAAATTAAAATCGACTTAATTAGTAATTTATTTTGCCAATATCATTTTAAGTAAATGATTATGATGATGTAGAGGGGATTGAATCGATGGAAACAAAAATTAAGAGTGATGAAGAATGAACTGAACTTACAGTTTTGCGGAATAAAACACTCAAAGTTAGAAGTAGGAACGAAAACATTCAAGTTGTAACTTAATCATTGAGACTATTATTTCTGTTCAATTATTTGTTCACAGGACGGGGGATTTGAACTTGACTTCTTCCAACATTAGGAACAGAATAACATGAGAATATCACGGGATGGAACACACCAAACCAAGACAAACATAAGCAACCGTGGTATTCACCGGTGACCGCTCCCTTGGTTCTTCTTTGCTTTCGTTTTGTTTTAATCTTTTTTCTTTTGGGACCCCATCGGGTTAAATTACTATACAAATGTCGGTTCATTGGCATCTTTGTACTCAAATCATCATACTAAAGATAATATTTTCAAACAAACTACAATCCCATTTTTTATCACCAACTTAGCAATCTCAAAGTAAGATAGCACTTCTGCTTTCTATAAAACCCTTTTCAAATTAGACAATGCTAGGGAGATCAAATTTTTTAACCAAATTTGCAAACCAAATGATGTGTCACCAATAGGAAATAAGCACGTCAATCAACTCTTAAGTAATAATCCACATCATTTGGTTGAAAAATAAATTAAAAAATAAATCGTAATATTATTCATAGGGAGGCTGTTTTATTCTTGGTGCACATATTCTCACATCGGCCGTATTAGTTTTTTTTTCTCTCCTTCTAGCCACTATATAACAAGGGCTTTGGATAAGGGAAAAGAGACACCAAGAGGAACAATTTTTCTGGCTTTATTTGTTTATTCTATCATCAAGTGAACATTCAACAGAACTCATCATGTTCATCAACATCAGCCATGCATTGTTTATTTGTTTCACTTTTATTTCCTTGTTAAGCTAATTCCTCGATATTCACCATTGATGGATCATTAGAGCTGTTGACCCTATGAGATTCAGTGAATGAGAATTTATTGTGCTAAGAAATTTACCATCTGGCCTCCATATTTACCCAGTCCCCCACTTTTCTGTATGATTATATCAGTTTACCTATAACAACGTAAGTTTGCTTACATTTCGCATCAATGTACCAAAACAACCTACAAAAGTTAGGTTAGTTAAACCAAACATAGAAATCAATCATGTTTATGCTCTTTGGTGCGGGTTCAATCCACACCAGTCTCCCCCTTTTCCAACAATTTAACCCACTAATGCGCTATCATTTGTAAAAAAACCAAACATTGTTTGTGTTTGGGCCATAAATAAAAATAAGGTCTACTAGGAGGGCAATATATTTTTATTCACTCAAAGCCACGCAACACGGCCCACTAACTTCAAGGCCCAACCAAGATCCTATCCTAGGGCTCGGGCGACTAACTCACATAACTCCAAAGCCATTCGACGATTCCGACTCGACCCTCATCAAAGCTCATCTTCCATGCAGACGACCAGACCTAGAAATATCTCATCTCTTTAATTGTCGATGAACACATCATTCGATGAGCTAATGTCATTGCAATAATCATGGGAAATGCCACAAGACAAAGCTAAAGACCACCATCCAGGAATTACAATCATTGTCAGCGGCAAATGACCGATCTAGTCTTACTCCAGCTCAATAAGAAGATTGAGGCTGCTCTTTCCCCCATTGCCTATAAATAGAGCCAAAGGCTCAAGCTCTGGACCTTTGTCAAATTCAATCTCTACGATTATGCAAACCTCAAGCAATTCTTCAATCAACCCAACTGCTTTTCAGCATAACCTAAATTGATCTTTAGCAAAACCTCTAGTTCTTTAGCTACAATCTCAAAGTCTTCCTTCAAAGTATACACTACCTACGATCCCTGATGTTTGAAAAGCTTTTACAGCTCTGCCACCCCGTGGTATAACTCGATTCACGTGCAATTCCAACCACCCTAATCACCTCTTTGAGGCATTGTTTCATTTTTACAGTAACCTCGGTGGATTCCTTTAACATTATCTTGTCCTGACATGGCCTCAATCTTGCTGGAATTTACTACTTTCTTTACATTTTCAAGTCTTATTAACTTTTCAAGTCATGTAGGCTGGCTCATTAGCCCAGAATCACTTCTATAAAACGTTTTTAATCTTGATTCCATCATGAAATGATTACATCCAATTTCCTGGTTTTACTTTCATTTTCAGTTATTACTTAGGCATACATTTATTTCGCACTGGATTTGAAGTCTTCATTCACTCAAGACATAAGATAGAACTTAATCGAATTAGCATCCTATTTGGTGCACATTCAATTGGTTAAGAAGTTAGATCTACAAACACAACATAACCTTATACACATTACTCTCTATTGGCAGCCTCCAACAGTGGCACGTCCATTCTTTCTTTCCCTTGACCCATCTCGTGGTACTAAGACTGAAAGTAACACTCAAGACAAATACATGTTGAACACAACCAAAACTCCGTCCGAATTTCGATACCAATAATTAGGCTTAATCTACTAATTACGTTCGTACAGTTAGCTATATTAACTTTTGCATGTCGTATTGGTGCGTTAATATGGAACGGTAATCAATTGCATTGACCCTCATCACGATAGGGTGGGTGGGGGGCTAAACTATTGTACCAAATTAGAAAAGCACAAAAAGTGAGATTGCAGCACGAAGACTTTTTGTTTCTTTTATCTTTTGTTACTGGAACCATTTGGTCCATTTCTGAATTGAACAAGAATTGATAAAATGAAATAAAAAAGATAAATGAAAAAAACTCTTAATTAACGCGAAGGAGATTCAAATGAGCTATATATACATAAGGTTTTGCACATAGTCGTGTTTATTTTATTTTTTGAGAATGTATTGCGCATAAGTTTAATCAGCATGCAAATAATTTGTAATTCAGTTGATTAAGAACATTTATTCTGAAATTCGAGATTCTATGTTTGATTCCCCCACCTTTTTAATATTACTTGCATCAAAACAAAAACATAAACAAATGTGGGTGAATATACATAAATCCATTTTTTGGAAGAAATTATTGCACAACCAAACTCAAACAAATGTGGGTGAATATTAATTAAGACAGACTTTACGGTCAACAAATACCCGTTCACCAAGTTCTTCTACTCATACTTTGGGAAAAAACGAAGATTTTGTTCCTGGAAATAAGCCAAATTTAAACCTTTCCTTTGTCTCCTTGTAACAAAAATAATAGCAGAAACCACTTACCATGCAATACCACTATCTGGAAAAACCATACAAACCACTTGTGGTTTTGTTCTCATTGTTTGCCTGTGTATCTCCAATCGGTTCCGATTGTGATTTCACAGAAGATCATGGGGCTGCAGCGACGATCGAAGGCATTTTTGTATTTGGAAGCTCTTTGGTTGACAATGGCAACAATAACTTCTTCGAAAGCACGGCGAAGGCCGATTACTTGCCCTATGGAATAGATTTCCCAAGTGGATTACCTTCTGGGAGATTCACAAATGGTAAAAATGTGATTGACCTTCTTGGTGAACAACTGATGCTTCCTTCCTTCATCCCACCATTTAAGGACCGTTCAACCAAGGGGTCTAACATTGTTCATGGTGTCAACCATGCCTCTGGCTCTTCGGGTATCTTAGATGATACCGGCTTTGTTGGGGTACGTACGTCTGAACCTATACTAATGTGTTTTTAGTTATTTTTATATAGTCGAACACAAGAAATTCGATAAACAGCTCATATAAATATTTACCCACATATTGATCCAAGGTTTTTGATAAACAGTATACATATTTAAGGGTGTATTAATTCGTTTAGGTCATCATTCAAGGGGAGTAAACTTCTACGCCAAGAATTTGTCTATTAATTGACGAGTACATTATAAAAACCTTCAATTGGTCTTGACTCTATTCACTTTTTCCTTCTTACTACAGTAGAGATTTGTGAAATGTTAGTCAATTCGTATAATCGTAGACACTAAATTACGAGATTAAGAAAAGAAACATCTTGTACTTAGATTGGAACATATATTAGCTACACTAGCCAACCCACCTGGGACGTATTCATGTAAGTAAAAGATTTAAATTCATATGTAACATGTGATCGACAACCATACACAAATTGTAGTACTCACGTGTTTCACAAGTCACCTATATATAGTTGCATCTGCTTGCTTGATCTGTATGACAAAATTAATGATTCTATATTTCATATATATAGTAAATAATTTTCCTATATATAAAGTCGAGAAATTTCCGATTCGAGTAAATTTAATTTAAAGTTATATTTACCATGCATAGTTAGTAATTTAAATTAAGAATTTAAGATAATCAATCATTAAGCTAGCTAGTTAATATTTCAGGGAAATGTTGTTATAAGTTTGAGTCAGCAAATCCGGGACTTTCAGGAGGTGACATTACCAGAGTTAGAAGCTCAGCTGGCGTGCAATAGCTCTCAATCTCTTCCAAGATACTTGTTTGTTGTGGGAGTTGGTGGGAATGATTACATGTTCAATTATTTCCTCAAGAGATCCTACTTCCAAATTGATCTCCAAACCTTCACAGCAACTCTCATAGCATCTCTAGCTCAAAAACTCAAGGTGCATTTACCGTATCAATAAAGCCATTTGGACACGTAATTTTTTTTAAGGGGTGGAAATTAATTGGTATTGAACTAGCGATTTACAAGATTTAAACCTATGACTTTTCACTTGTAAGTGAAGAAGAATATCATTAGACCGTAGTAAGTATCATTTGGACAAATAAAGAGAACACACTAGTTGACACACTTTCTAATAAAAGTGAGTCCTATCATTATATGTAGATCTCACATATAATAGAGTATGTGTCATCAAGTGCGTTGTTTTTTCTTGTGTTCAAACATCATCCCTTATAGTGTGACTATTTTGTTTGAGCAAGTAATTTTTACACAATTTTAATCATGAAAGCGATTTAGTTTTGCAGAAATTGTACATTTTGGGAGGTCGAAAATTTGTGGTAATGTCGATAAATCCACTAGGGTACAGTCCTGTTGTTAACAGGCCAAATTATATTGGCCGTCCTCAAGCTCTGAACCAAGCAGCTCATCTGTACAACACTCAACTGAGGACACTGCTGGATGCTCTCAAAAGTGATATGCCTGACTTCAGTTTTGCTTTGGTCAATACATATAACATTATGACTAACATCATCCAGAATCCTACGTCCACAGGTAATTCAATCCTGAATTTTATTTCGTTTTGATTAATCAACAACTATCATCCTCGAGAGATATGAAGTTAGAAAATTGATCCTAAAAATGACAGGATAATTAAGTTATGAGAATGATTCTAATTCTTGAGTCAATATATTACACTTCTTCTATACAATAAATGATCAACTATCTACGAGACAGATATTCGGGGTCGTTCAATAATCATTTCGTTTTTAGTTTTCACTAAAACTGAAATCTTGTAATTTCAATTTTCAAAAAACCAAAAAGTGAAAACTCAATAGAGAGTAGTTATCAGTTTTTATTTTTATTTTTTAGAAACCTGAAAGCAGTTACCAAATAAGATTTCCATTTTCAACTTTCAAAAAAGTGAAAACAAAAAATAAAAACTGAAAACGGAATGGTCATCAAACGGTCCAAAAAATAACCAATCATAAAATAGGAAAGAAAAAATAAATGGTCCTACAATTAATAGATAGAACTCATATTTACCAAATCACATAACAATAATGTCACATGAATCAAACTCAAGATGTCTAATTCTTATATTTAGGACTCGAACTCACCTAAACCATTGTTGAACGTCTTATAACATAAACAACAAAATGTTATGTCTTAATTTTTTTGGTGCCTTTATTATAACAGGCTTTGAAGACACGAGCAACCCCTGTTGCAAAGTGAAATCTCAAATTGAAGGTTTTTTTCATTCATCTTTTGATGACCTTCTTCTAGGCTTCTCTATCGATATAGAATCTCTGGTGAAATAACAAATTAACAAATGCAGGTGGAAATGGAGTATTATGCGAAAGAGGTGGAGAAGCATGTGAGAACAGAAACAGGACGACAATTGTTTTCTTTGATGGGTTGCATCCAACGGAAGCGTTGAATGTTCAAATAGCAACCAAGGCTTATGCTTCCACTCTTGAATTTCATGTTTATCCCATTAATGTCAAACAACTTGCCCAACTTTGATTATATATCCTCGTATTATTATCTTAAATAATTGAAATTTCACCTTGAAACTTGTCACAAATGTGTTTGTCATATTACCCATCTTAGACCAAAGGGGGTGTTGAGGGGGAACGAAAGGTACGGTCACACAGGGCCCCAAATTTGAAGGGAGCCCCAAAATTTGTCATCTAATATTATGTAATAATGTTCTATATTTAAAAAAAAAATTGATTTTGTTAGTACTTTAAAATCTCTTTGTACACCACTTATAAGAGTAATTTTTTTTCCTTTCTAAATATAAAAATTTAGAATAAAATGAGATATTTTGTGTGCTAGTAATAACACCTAAAAAACAATATATATATTAATATTATATGTTCAAGTGAAACTTCGAAGTTAGAGTTTTGAAGTTTTTTGTTTTTCATGTTTGGTTGTTTAAGAATGAACTGCTTTTGATAGTTTAGTGAAGGTTATGTTTGTAACTCTTTTTACTTATAATTAATATCATTTGTAAACTTGCATTCAGTGAGTGATAAAACTTGTTTTGATTTAAGTGACTGTTTTCTAACATCACTGCATTGTTTTTTTTTTTTTTTTTAACCTATCTTAAGGAGGGGCCCTCTTTCAAATTTTCCACAGGGCTTTCAAAATCTCAGAGACGGCCCTATCTTAGACTATATATTAGATGATAACATAAGTTAACTTTTCTTTACTAGTTGCCTCTGTATCTAAAATTTGAAACATAGATTATATAATATGGGAAAAAAAGAAGAGAAAACACACTCAATATTAGGAGGGCAATCTCCAAACAAAGAACATGGTTAAAAATAAAGATAAGGTTTCAAGGAACTTGTTTCTTCTCAATTGATTTCCTCATTCGCCAATTCTCGGCTTGTAAAATTTTTAGTTCTTCTTTGTGGCGGTGAAGATGGTAGTGGCTGCAACATGGTTGTCCATACCATTTTTTGGCAACCTCCATGACCTTCTTCTCGATGTTGGTTACTTGAGTTGTAGGGTGGAGTTTGTGGTTTTGTGTTGGGTTTGGAGGTGATGGCATGATGAGGGTGGTGGTGACCATTAGTTGGTAGAGGCTATACTTCCATGACTTTCTATTGAGACAAAGTAACCTAGTCCATGTAACAAATTTTTAGCTGGACTTAATGGATGTGACGTCTTTAATAGGTTGATACTTGTTTGGAATGTGAGTTTGTATGACATAGAAGAACAATCCACAGATGACTACCAAAGAAAAAGAGGAAAAGTGATGGAGGAGAGAGACAAAGCGATAACGACATAGAAGAAACGAGTAAAAGTATTAAGGGTTAATCTCATATTATTATATGAAGTTTCTTGATTTTCAACATTTCATAGGTTTTTTCTTTTCATCCCAATCTGATACCTAAAGTGTTAAAAGATTAAACAAGTTTAGGAGAAAATAAATTAAAATTTAAAAACCGTATATAGTATTGGGATGTGGTCCAATCAAAACTCTAATTATAAGGCAAAAACGTAACCACTCATTTTAACCAAAACTCAACAAATGTGCAATAATGTGAAAACTACAATACGTGTAAGACCATAAGCATGAAATATGTGGTCGAGTTTTTTATAAAGTTTGTAAATTGGAAGTAAAGTAAGAAGAAGTCAAAGATGAGCGTTACATTAATAAAAGAAAAATTGAACATTAGTTAGTATGATGTCCTTTTCTCAAAAACCCAGCCTGAAATTGAACAGCGTAACTTTGAGGCAGAGGATTTGTTGGTCAACTGGGCCCCAAAACAAAAAGAAAAACGACAAAAACAAAATGAGACAAGTCCGAGAAAACAGAGATCCCGCGACTGTCAGATGTTGAATTCTTGTCAGGTTACCGGTTCCTTCCCTCACGTTGTTTGACTAAACCTTAACGCCGTTAACGCACATTAACAGCTGGACTTTTCTTCTCAAACCCACGTGTTCAATTCTTGAAAATGTACCTTCCCTAAATAAAAAAGAATTAATGGCTGGAAAACACAACAACCAAAAGCTACGAATTTAATAATGATTTGGTATTTATTTTGAAAATTGTTATTACTAATATAAAAATCTCATCGCCCGGCCTTTACACTATCCTTCTTTTTATAAATATAAAAAATTTAAAATGCACAGTAGGTATTTTAAAGTGTTAGGGTTAAAGTTGGAGTTGCGTTTAAAAAATCACAAAAGAGTACTAGTGATTTTCAATAATTTATTTTTTTAATGCAAAATTTTTTAGTAAGAGTTAGGATACGTTACTCTTAAATATGACCAGCAGAAACAGTGAGACATTGACGAGCTAACACATTAGCTACAAAGTTAACATCTCTAGAGATATAGTTCCGCTTAATATTGATGAACTTGAAAGAAAAATTCGGTAATATTATTTTACGTAGTGTAGTGTTGTTGGTTGGTTATCCTCATTTGATTTAGATTAATCTTCGAGAAAAATAATAAACTTCCAATAAATAAATCAATACTTTATAGATTGATGAGAGATAATACTAACAAAACTAAATCTTTTTGGTCAATAAAAATATTTGAAACTCTAACTTGAGTTTTCCTCATATTTTTACATATGTTAACGGCGTTTATATTTTGCTATGCGTTCAGAAGAAAAACCGGGTGGAGCAGATCTAGGCTGGCATGAGTCAAACGCCGTCGCCCCAAATTTATTAGTCAGAGTCTTCCTTTCCACCCTCACCTGATTCGCTCCTCCCTCCTCCTTCTTCCTCCTCCCTCCTCCTTAAATACACTGAACTTTCTCCTCTGCCCACCCACCAATGAACTGATACCCAAAATCCAAGGCTCACCTAAAAATGGCGCTCCAAACCCACATCAGTCTTTCACACCTCTTGATCGCCTTTCTCCTCTCCGCCGCCGTTTCTGCCGCTTCCGCCGCCACGACAATCTCACCAGGCTCATCTCTCTCCGCCGCCAACCCAAATACCACCTGGTCCTCCCCATCCGACACCTTCTCCCTCGGCTTCATCTCCTCCGACCCCCCCACTTCACCGCCTTCTTACATCGCCGCCATCTCCTACTCCGGCGGCGTCCCCGTCTGGTCCGCTGGTGCAGGAAAAGTAGTTGACTCCGGTGGAACTCTCCAGTTCCTCCAATCTGGCACCCTTCGCCTCGTCAACGGCTCCGGCGCCACTCTCTGGGACTCCAACACCACCAGCCGCGGCGTCTCTTCGGCTGAGATTGACGATTCAGGCAACTTGGTTCTCCGAAACGGCACTGTTACGGTTTGGTCCAGCTTCGACAACCCCACCGATTCGATCGTCCCCGGGCAGAACTTCACCGTGAGTAAGGTTTTGCGATCTGGGTTGTACTCGTTTAAGCTTGTGAAAAACGGGAACCTTACACTTTTGTGGAATGATAGTATTGTGTATTGGAATCAGGGATTGAATTCTTCTGTTAATACGAATTTGAGTTCGCCTACTCTAGGATTGCGGTCAATTGGTATTCTGTCAATTTCTGATCCACAATTGTCCACTGACGCTATTGTTGCTTATAGTAGTGATTATGCCGAAGCGGGTGATATTTTGCGGTTTTTGAAGTTGGGGAGTGATGGGAATCTGAGGATTTATAGCTCTTCTAGAGGTAGTGGGACTGTAACAGAGAGATGGGCAGCTGTTACTGATCAGTGTGAGGTTTTCGGGTATTGTGGGGACATGGGAGTTTGTAGTTATAACGATTCTGCTCCGGTATGCGGATGTATGTCTCTTAATTTTGAGCTTGTTGATCCCAAGGATAGCAGGAAAGGGTGTAAGAGGAAGATGGAGATTAAGGATTGTCCTCAGAGTGTGACTATGTTGGACTTGGAACATACTCGGTTCTTGACGTACCCTCCTGAGACAGAGTCGCAGATTTTCTTTGCGGGAATATCGGCTTGCAGGTTGAATTGTCTTGGAAGTAGTGCTTGTGATGCTTCGACTTCTTTGTCTGATGGCACAGGGCTATGTTACTCCAAGACACCAGGTTTTCTGAGTGGGTATCACAGTCCAGCTATGTCCAGTAGTTCATATATCAAGGTATGTGGACCAGTGATTCCAAATCCATCATCATCACTGGGGACTGCTGGCAACAAAAAAGATCAGAAGTTGCGTGCTTGGATAGTGGTCGTTGTAGTTATTGCCACCCTCTTTGGTTTGATGGCATTTGAAGGTGGTTTGTGGTGGTGGTTTTGCAGAAACAGTCGCAGCTTTGGTGGATTGTCTGCTCAATATGCCCTTCTTGAGTATGCTTCTGGTGCACCGGTTCAGTTCTCGTATAAGGATCTCCAACGCTCAACCAAGGGATTCAAGGAGAAGCTTGGGGCCGGAGGATTTGGGGCTGTTTATAAAGGCATTCTTGCTAATAGAACTGTTGTTGCAGTTAAGCAACTTGAGGGGATTGAGCAAGGGGAGAAACAGTTCAGGATGGAGGTTGCAACAATTAGTAGCACCCACCATTTGAATCTGGTGAGGCTGATTGGTTTTTGCTCCGAGGGGCGCCATAGGCTTCTGGTATATGAGTTCATGAAAAATGGGTCCCTTGATAGTTTCCTTTTTGCAACAGAAGAGCAATCAGGAAAGTTGTTGAACTGGGAGTCTCGGTTCAACGTTGCCCTCGGCACTGCAAGGGGGATCACATACCTTCACGAGGAGTGCCGAGACTGCATTGTGCATTGTGATATAAAACCGGAGAACATTCTGTTAGATGAGAATTACAATGCCAAAGTGTCAGATTTTGGCCTCGCAAAGCTCGTTAATCCAAAGGACCATAGGTATCGAACCTTGACAAGTGTTAGAGGTACTAGAGGGTATTTGGCACCTGAATGGCTAGCAAATCTTCCAATAACTTCCAAATCTGATGTTTACAGTTACGGTATGGTTTTGCTAGAGATAGTGAGTGGGAGACGGAATTTTGAAGTTTCTGAGGCGACAAATAGGAAGAAGTTCTCCTTATGGGCTTTTGAGGAATTTGAGAAAGGTAACATCACGGGAATTGTCGATAGAAGGTTAGTCGACCAAGATGTTGATATGGATCAAGTGAAGAGAGCAATTCAGGTAACCTTCTGGTGCATACATGAACAACCATCTCACAGGCCGACGATGGGAAAGGTTGTGCAGATGCTGGAAGGAATTACAGATATTGAATACCCCCCAGACCCAAGGGCTGTCATCGAAGGGTCTGCGAGTGGAACCAGCATGAATGTGAGCAGTAATATCAGCCCTTTATCCACTGCCGCAGCCTCAGCCCCAACTCCCTCCTCATTTTCATCATTCCAAATTTCAGGAGTATCGCCTCTAACATCAGGGAGGAATACGGAGAAGGCAACTGCATCCCTTATACAGTCAGACCCAAACTGAATCTCATTTCCACACATATGTTTTCTTCTTGTATTCTAGTTCTATTTATCCAATTCGATACAGTGAAACTAGGAAGTCATAGTCTTACATTAATTAAGACAATATTTTTTGAGATGCTATTGTGTAAAAATTGTTTACAAATGATATTATATGATGCCTTGAAGTAGAGCTTGCTATTGGACTCGGTTCATTGCAGAGATTTTATAATTTAGTTGTCATATAATTGTTGCCAATGTGATACGCTTACAGATTGGATAAGCAGTTCGGTATTCTTATTTTCATAGCATCGTATCCATCGTTTGTTTGCCCAAGTACTATGTCTTGGTTGATTTTTTACTTCTTACTTGGTGCTTTTCTTTTGTAAAAGAAGCCCGTATCTCTAACCATGCGTGACATGATGTAGCTGCTTTGCTAAGAGGGAAGCATGCAGGTGGTTGAGGAAAAATTTTGTGAAGGTAAGGCTCCTTAAATGAATATTCTTTTGAATTTTTTGGAATTAGAAACTATCATCTTCGAGAGATATGAAATTAGAAACTCGATCTTAAAAATGACTGAAAAATTAAGTTATATGAGAGTGATTCCAATTCTTGAGTTAATATATTAAAAAACTGACAACAAAATGGTCTTCAAATGGTCCAAAAAGTAACCAAACTCAGACAAATGTGGGTGAATATTAATAGATAGACTCACATTTACCTAATCACATAACAATAATGTCATACGAATCAAACTCAAGATGTCTAATTCTTATATATAGGACTCAAACTCACCTAAACCATTGTCGAACGCCTTAACAAAGACAACGAAATGTTATGACTTAATGTTTTTTGGTGCCTTTATTACAACAGGCTTTGAAGACACGAGCAACCCCCTGTTGCAAAGTGATATCTCAAATTCAAGGTTCATTTCATTCCCTTCTTCTAGGCTTCTCTGTGGATATATATATAATCTCTGGTGCAATAACAAATTAACAAATGCAGGTGGAAATGGAGTATTGTGCGAGAGAGGTGGAGAAACATGTGAGAACAGAAACAGGACGACAATTGTTTTCTTTGATGGGTTGCATCCAACGGAAGCGTTGAATGTTCAAATAGCAACCAAGGCTTATGCTTCCACTCTTGAATTTCATGTTTATCCCATTAATGTCAAACAATTTGCCCAACTTTGATTATATATCCTCATATTATATCTTAAATAATTGAATTTTTACTTTGAAACTTGTCACAAATGTGACTGTCATATTACCCATCTTAACCATATATTAGATAACAACATAATTTAACTTTTTTTTTTTTACTAGTTACCTCAATATCTAAAATTTCAAACATAGATTATTTAATATGGAAAAAAAAAATTCAATGATCTGAAATTATATTAGGACAATCTCCTAACAAAGAATAGGGTTAAAAATTCAAATAGGATTTCAAGGAGCTTGTTTTTTCTCATGCAATTTCTTCATTCGCTGATTCTCAGCTTGTAAAATTTTCAATTATTCTAGTTGAATATCAGAGTGTGCGACGAATAAGATTACAAAATAATAAGAATTTTATGAAACAAACAAAAATACCGAAACGGCTACAAAACTCCAACGGGTTACATCCTGACGTATTAATTATTCATACTGAACTATAAGCTATATTTATAAATAGCAAAACCTAGAAACTCTAATTCGAATGGGCTATGCCCTACTAAACTAACAAGCAAACCCAAATAATCAAATAAACATAAAATACTAATATTTTCCAACATCCCCCTCGTACTCATGGCGGTACACGACATGAATTTGCCAACAAGTAGATGCGGATGCAAGTTCCATTATGCTAATTTCCGATGCCAATTTCAATACGAAATTTCATTGGTGCGAGTGCAAGATTCCAAATGCCAATGCCAATGTAAGATTCCAGTGCCGGTGCCAGTGCAAGATTCTAATGCTAGTGCTAGTGCAAGATTTCAATGTCAGTGCCAATGAAAGATTTCATGCCAATGCCAATTGTGAGCTTCCAAACAACTTGAACAAACAAGCAAAAAATCCAATTTGTTATGTTTACAACGTCACCCAAGTGGTCATTAGTTCAAACACTCGAATGCTCGTTAGTCCAACAAAACTCTTGCGTCGGCAACAATTGGCCCAACAAAACGATCCTTCTCACGGGTAAACAAATTTACTTTTCCTATTCTTTGTCCTTTTTTTTTATTTGTTGTGATCTTCTCCACTGCAAGCAAAACTTTTATTCTTTTTATTTTTTTATTTTTATTTTTTTTCTCTTTCAATTTTCTTTTCCTTTGTTACTTTTTCCATTCTCCTGGGACTTTCTTTAACTTGCGAAAAACAAGAGCAAGTGCTTACTGCAGAGGTGACCCCGAGTGCACTGCAGATACGGGTTCAGGTTCCAGACAGCGGGTGCAAATTCAAATCAAGGTGACGATGCAGGTTAGATCGCAAGGGACGGGGAGTGATGCAGTGAGGTGGATTTCATGGGATCTTGTCTTTGGTGCAGAAGGGATTGCAGCAGATAGTTCGTGCAGATGCTAGTGCGGGTGAGTGACAGGTGGTGCGGGTTCATGGTTCAAGGAGCAGACGGGTTAGGTTGTCTGGGCAGATTGCAGTGCGGTGGTGGCGACAAGAACAGCTTCGACTACGGATGCTATGCACGAAGAACAAGCAAACACATTCTTACCACAATGAACAACGACAATTTTTAAGATGAATCTAAAACATAAAAAAAAAACAAACAGCGGAAGACGACGGACGAAACTGATACCTAGTAAACTGACAAACAAAGCTGATACAAATAAATTGACACCAATCAAGAGCAGATTAAATCCCAAAGGATCAAACCTGGTCTGATACCAAGCTCAATATCAGAGTGCGCGATGAATAAGATTACAAAATAATAAGAATTTTATTAAACAAACAAAAATGCCGAAATGGCTGCAAAACTCCAAAAGGCTACATCGTGACTAATTATTCATATTAAACTATAAGCTATATTTATAGAGAGCAAATCTTAGAAACCCTAATTCGGATGGCCTAGGCCCTACTAAACTAACAAGAAAACCCAAATAATCAAATCAACATAAAATACTATTATTTTCCAACACTTCTTTGTGACGGTGAAGATAGTAGTGGCTACATCATGGATGTCCATACCATTTTTAGCAACCTCCATGACTTTCTTCTCAAAGTTGGAGGCTTGAGTTGTATGGTGGAGTTTGTGGTTTTGCATTGATTTGGAGGTGATGGCATGATGGGGATGATGGTGACCATTAGTTTGGAACAGTGTTCTAAAAAACGTCCTAGGTGGCACCTTGGAACTGAAGCAATTTTGTGCAAAACGGCTGGAAAAATCAGGGTGGCTCTAGGCGGGCTAGGCGGCTAGGTGGTTTTTTTTTTTTTTTTTTTGTGAAATTTGTTTAAAGTCTAAGTTCTAATTATACCTTGAAATTTTGTTAATTTTATAGAATAGGTGTGTTGTGTATCAACTTAAATTCCGGGATGCTAAAGATAAGTATTTTACATTACTAAATTTCCTTATTTTCCATTTTATGTTGTTTTAAATTGTGAACTTGTTGTACATATGTCATTCTACAATACTCCTCACTATGGTTATATGACATATATGCTTAATGTGTTTTTAAATTTTGGACTTGTTGGATACTCTTTTTGCATTTTATCATTCTTTTATTATCTCATCCATGGATTTCATACAAGTATAATTTTTTGTAAGTGTCAATATGCACTTATTTACAAGATATACAAGAAATTTACCTAAATCCGCCTAGGTGCTAGCCCGCCGCCTCACTAGCGTCTAGCGTTTTTTAGAACCTTGGTTTGGGAAGGCTATACTTTCATGACTTTCTATTGATTTTGGACAAAGTAATCTAGTTCATTTAACAAATTTTTAACAAATTTTTAACTTGGCGTAATGGATGTGACATTTTCAATTGGTTGGTACTTGTTTGGAATGTGATTTTTTATCTAGTATAGTGACATAGAAGAACAATCCATGGATGACTACCAAAGGAAAAAAAGATAAACGGATGGAGAAGTGAGACAAAGCGGTAACAATATAGAAGGAAAGAGTAAAAGTATTAAGCGCTAATCTTAGATTACTACTCTAAAGTTTCTTGGTTTTCAATATTTCATACATCAAGTTTTTTTCGTCCTAGTCTGGTACATAAAGTTATAATTCTAGGACACTTTCATACATCCGTTAAGTTTAACGTCAGAACCTTCGTTAATTAAAGACGTGGCGCCCACGTGAACCATGATTGGACACCACGTGTCAACCTAACCCACGTAAACATTAAAAATAAAATAAAATAAAATAAAACTAATAAGTGTTCGACCCCTTTTATGATTTCAAGTCTTCATAATGACCCCATTTGTTATGCATTATGAAGACTTCTTATAAGACTTAAATTTAGGCATTATGAAGATTTTTTTTTGATGATCTATTGATTCAAACATGAATCCTAAGCTTACTAGAGCTTACTTTGGTATTTAGTATATGCCTAATTTTCTAAAACTTATTTGTTACAGTTGATGAAGCAAATGTTTACTACGGGCGATTTATGTTGTTTTTAAACTTTATAGAATTACAAAAATCATGAATGTATTGTTCTGATGGAAAAACTAGTTTTACATGCCACCAAAAACACTGAATAGTCATCATTTACCCACCACACCAATTATTTTACCCTCTAGAATTTTGGTTCACAGGTTGTCCCCTAATCTGCACAGTTGGAGACATTTCCGTTTTCGCTAGTTTGCGCGGCTTTTCGACGGTAAAGTATATGTGAAGACGCTATAAAACCCATGTTCTTATAGGGTATCTGATGGATGACGATATACTATTTAGAACATGTTTTCACACACTTCTTTATAGTATAGATGATGGATGACTTTATACTATGAAGATACTTTTGAAATATATATACTTATGTTTGGAAAGTCTATATTCAATGTTTTTGTGTGTATCTAGATGTTACTATTATATTGGCTTCGTGCCGGTTGTAGGTTGGTGCCTGAGGGCGATGTTACTATTATATTGGCTTCGTGCCAAGTGTAAGTTGGTGCCTGAGGGCGATGATACTTATATTGGCTTCGTGCCAAGTGTAGGTTGGTGGCTTCGGCCGTATGATACTGATATTGATATCACTAGTTAGCACATTATATATAAGATATGTTTTATGAGATGTTTTATGGCATGCTAGGGTTTTTGGAAAACCTATCACTTATTATGCCATTAGTTTTCATAAAATTTTGGGGGTTAGTATCTTCATAACTGTTTTAGTATTATATATATCAACTTGGTCCACTCATGTTTGTTTTGCGCCCCCTCAGGATTTAGAATCGAGGCGTATAATCTCGGCGTCAAGGCACTTCCACATCGGCATTTTCGAGTTCTCTCGGTGTAGGACCCATCCTCTTATTCATTCAATTTTATATTAATTTCTTATAGTGTTCTAGTTAGTTGTATGTTCTGAACACGTTCCTTAAATGCATATTCATTATATTTAAAATTTTAAGTCCTATTTATTTCTTGTTCTTAGGATTTGCATTCAATAAATGGCTTTCGTCACCCTCGGGTGTCGCCCAGCACGTGCCTATCCTAGTGTTTGAGGAATATCAGGATCAGGGCGTGTCAGGCAATCTTGTCTTTCTTGGAGAATAATCCACGTGCCCGCTTCATAATTTTTGAGATTATTTTATGCTCCACATAAGTTTCTTAATAAATTTGTAAGTTGCAAGTAAAGTAACAAGAAGTCAAAGATGAGCATCACGTTTATTTTAAAAAAAAAAAAAAAATATATATATATATATATATATATATATATATATAACATTAGTTAGGGAAATCTTTAAGGGAACAGATTTCCATTTTTATATAAAAATAGGGATTAGTTGTGGGGTCTACATTACATCGAATTTTAAAGGACCGCCAAATCGGAAATATTTAAGACATCTAATTAGGTTCAAAGAAATTAACGAATACTTTGTTATATAAGAAATAATGAAATTTTATCTTGATAACTAAATAGGCATATGATTTCGGATTAAATTGAATTTTTGTAAGATGATCTATGAATCGTGACTTACAAAATAGACAATTCAGATCGTTGAAGTTCAATAATTTCAAATTAAATTAAATTTTTGCAAAGATGATCTATTATTTATTCAAACCCAAATGATAC